TATTTTGTCAAATGCTTTTTCTGCATCAGTTGAGAGGATCATATGGTTCTTGTCCTTTCTTTTGTTAATGTGATGTATCATGTTGATTGATTTGTGAATATTGACCCACCCTTGCAGCCCAGGAATAAATCCCACTTGGTCATGGTGAATAATTCTTTTAATGTACTGTTGGATCCTATTGGCGAGATTCTTGGTGAGAATTTTTGCATCCATGTTCATCAGGGATATTGGTCTGTAATTCTCCTTTTTGGTGGGGTCTTTGTCCGGTTTAGGGATCAAAGTAACGCTGGCCTCATAGAACGAGTTTGGAAGTTTTCCTTCCATTTCTATTTTTTGAAACGACTTCAGAAGAATAGGTATTAATTTTTCTTTAAATGTTGGGTAGAATTCCCCTGGGAAGCTGTCTGGCCCTGGGCCCTTGTTTGTTGGGATATTTTTTATTATTGCTTCGGTTTCCTTGCTGGTTATGGGTCTGTTCAGGTTTTCTATTCCTTCCTATTTCAGTTTTCGTAGTTTGTTTGTTTCTAGGAATGCATCCATTTCTTCCAGATTGCCTAATTTGTTGGCATATAGTTGTTCATAATACGTTCTTAAAATTATTTGTATTTCTTTGGTGTTGGTCGTGATTTCTCTTTCATTGATGATTTTATTTATTTGGGTCGTTTCTCTTTTCTTTTTGATAAGTCTGGCCAGGGGTTTATCGATCTTATTAATTCTTTCAAAGAACCAGTCCGAGCCTCCTGTAACTGCCTGATGCCACCCCCACCCCCCAACTTTCTCCAGCCCAGTCTCTCACTACGTGTCTCTGATCTTGGCCCCACTGAATTAGCCTACCTCCCATCCTGCCTTCCAATTGGCAGCAGTTCCCAAACTGGGGTTGTGCCTTCCAGGGGCGTCTACAAGTGCAGTCACCAACCCTCTGTGTATTCAGGTGCCAGGACAGTTTTTAGTCTCGTGAACCTCAGAGGATCTGATGTTTGCTTCCTGGCACATTTTTAAGGGATTTCCCAGCATGTTAAAGCACAAAGGCACGGCAAAGCCATCTGTCACTCCATTTTCAGTCTCCACATGCAGAGGGCCAAGCACAGGGGGGCAGGAGTTACTGTGCTTCCAGATGGACTGTGCTGCACCGGACAGAGGTCCAAAGGTACAGGGCACTGCGTCTGAGCCACGGGAGCGTGTCTCCAGGGGAAACGCTTTTCCTCTCCATTCATAGCATAACCAGAAAGCGAAATGTTCTAATGCGCTGTGCAAATGGACCAACGTAACATGGGATCTGCGTTGTCAAACGTTGTAATCTTACCCTTCATTAAATATTCAGCATGGACGATTTGATCTCTTCCTTTTCTCTGCTTCCCCCTCTTCCTCTGCATTCCCTCCTTCATTCCTCCTCTTTATTTACCTGCCTTCTGGGAAGTGCTGACTCAGGGTCTCTTGCATGTTGGGGACACAGCCAACCAGATGCTAGACACAGGACGAGTGTACAGATCGTCAGCTTTGACTCAGGACTCTATGGGAAGCACAGTCGCAGCCTGGCGGGAGTGGAGAAGTAGTGACCTCAAGATGCGTGTTCCCTGAGACCATCCAGGTTATAGCACAATAATGGTCAACACGCCCAGCCATAGGCGAGGGAAGTGGTTAGGTGCTCACCTGGCTTCATGCTGGAAGGGACAGAATGCCTGGCCATGTGCTCGCAAGGCAGTGGGCTGCTCCGGAGAGCTAGCATCCTAGGGAAACACAGCATTGCCCAGGACAGTGGGCTCAACTAGTGATTTCTGTGCTGACCGTTACTGGGGCTGCTGGCCTCAGCCTGTGATATTTACACACATGGAAGGATGAGAGGCCTGGATGCAGACTATTTACCTGGAACAACAGTTCAGCAGCTGTGTGGCTGGGAGCCGCAAAACAGTTGTAGTAGTAATAATACTTTTATATTAATTACATCATTTTATATTAATTGACACTTTTGACGGAGCAAATGTGACATGTTAAGTGCTTCCTCTCTGTTGCCACGTTTAATCATTATAACAACTCTATGAAATAGGTAATATCTACTTTTGCAGATGAGAACACCAAAGCTCAGAGTTTAAATGGCTTTGCTAAGCTGGTAGGGGGCAGACCTGTGAGCCACCCCGACTTTGTGTGAGACCCACCCCGGCGGGCCGTGAGCAGGGCGGCACTTCCAGCACACAAGGCTGGCGTAGGAGCAGACAGAAGTTCCAACACCCTCCTCCATGCCTCCTGCCCGTAGCTACCACTGCCTGGCATTGGCATTGCTGTGGAACAAGCCCTCTGGACCCCTCTGGACCCCTCTGGACCCCTCTGCTGCCACCCTGGGATTCTGCTCTTGGAGTTTGAGAAATTCTAGAATAAAGCAAGGTTTGATCCACCAAGTCACCTTATGCCAATTCTCTGGGGCTCTGGTTAAGCCTCAAGGCTCTCGATATCTACACCAAGAGCGCGTCTGGCCTGTGCTGAGTGGGGAACTCAGCTCCAGGACCAGCTGGCTCCTTCCCATCCACAGCGGGGCTGGTGTGGAGGGGCTGGGCTGGGGGCAAGGACGCAGGCCCATCTCCCTTCCCCACCTAGGTGTTTGCCTGGCATTCTCCACCATGCAAGGGAAGAGTCAAACCTGGGGTGCCTGATTTGGGATTTGATGGGCATTTGTAGTGTCCTTGAAATATCCTTTTTAAGACCACAGGGTGATTTCATACCCATTTCTTCTGGTGAGGCCATGAGAAAATCTAAATCAGGTATAAAGGCTGTTGTTATTTGAGATGAACTTTCCCAAACAGAGATGACAAGTATTTTTGTAGGGAGAAAGTATTCTCTCCCTTCGACTCCCTCAGCAGGAGCTCTGGAGAGAGGGGCGGCTTTGAGACTGCTCTGATACAGGAGGTGAGAGTCACCTAGCTGGGCTATGCCTACTGCCAATGTCCTGTTTCTTAGTATTCATGGAATGCTCTGCTAGTGATGTCACTGGAATTTTCTATCAGTTTTCTTTGTAAGTCTGGCCCTCAGAAGAATCCAGCAGGGAAGCAGGCGTAGAGAGGAGAAAAATACAGAGGAAGATATTTTTCATTCTCTTTGTGATCAACGGGTTAGGTTCTTGGGACATTCTGGATATGATATAGATTAGACTTCATTTTTTAGCTAACCTTTTTCTAAATCCATGTAGAATTATATCATCACAAGTCCACTGTGAAAGGTCACAGTCCCTGGATTCCTCTAGGAAGACATTCTGTGAGCACTCATCTATCCTGAGTGCTTCGATATTGTGCCCGTGTGAAGCCAGAGTAATGGGCAGGATATAGAACCCCCCCCGCCCCACAGACCTTAGAGTGTGTGACGTCATGGGTCCATGGCAATGAGGGGGGCAGCAGGGCCAGCATGCCAGGCTTGAAGCTGGACGGCTGGGTCTGAGGACAAGGTTCTCACTCACTGATTTAGACCTCAGTAAGTCTCCTAACTGCTCCAGGCTCACCTTCTTCATCTGTGAATTGAGGACCAATAATGATAATGGAAAGGACACTTCTCCCCCAAGGAAGCCACGATGGTTCAATAAGTGAATGTGTGTGGAAACACTTCCTCAGCCCTGAAAAACTCTGCTAAGCGAGAGTGTTGAACGCTGCTGCACATTCAAGGCCCTCTCAAGGAGGCGTCTGGAATGCCACACGCAGAGCATGTGCTCAATGCAAATGTACTCATAATGCCCTTCGTTAGCTACATTTCAGAGGGCAAAGTTCTTGTTCTGAAGCAGGATATAAACATTTAAAAAATTTTTTTTGTATCAGAACTCTTTGAAGATCTGACAAAACCACTAACACTTTCTCTCTTTCAAAAAACAAACAAAACAGAAACCCAGCAAAAATAAACCATGCCAGTACCCACAGCCAGTAACACCCCACATACAGTTTCTGGGGCCTCACGGACTTCCTCTAACACCTATCCCAGCTTAGGCAAATGCCCGTGCTAGAGACTTATAGGCTGTAGCTCTCTGAGTGAAGTGTGGGAAAGAAATAGGCTGGGTAGAGAAATGAAGGCAATAACCATGTGTCCTATTAGCCTGAGAAAAATCCTAGAGGGGACATCCCTGAGATCCTAATGTACTCAAAGGATGCTCTTGGAAAAAGAGTTAGTGTCTGATTATGACTAGTCTATTTAAATGAAAAATGTGTTCCAGCTAAAGAATGTGTCTGCCCTATCTCTGTGGCCACCCTCCACTCACTAAGCCTTTTGTGCAGAAAGCTTGGTCCCGATACCTGAATCCTCCTGTCTCCACAGCCGGCTGCTATCCGGTAACCGTGGCGAGGTCTCATTACGGCAGGGCTAGGCACCTGCAGGTCGCTGGCATGCCTGCTCAGCGCCCAGCTTATCGAAGATCTGAGAGCCTCCTGCCAACCGCCCTGGCTGTGTCCACCCTGGCCTCTCGCAGGGGACTGGATTTTACCTCAAGCAACACATGAGTTTTGGCTTCGCGGTGTTTTTGCCACGTAGGATTTCATTTTGGATGCAAGGCGTTCCAGACCAGAGCCAGCTCAGCCCAGGTGGAAACGTAAAAATCCACACCAAGATCAAATCAAACTGAGTGAGACCACATCCAGAAATGGAAAAGGAACAGGAGAGAAAATAGTCAAGCAGGAAAAGCACTGTCATGTTTTCCACATCCAGCTGGGGCCTTCAGTGGAAGAGCATCGAAGGTATTGGTATCCAACGTGCTTAGGGGCAGCCAGGTCTCTTGCAGGTAAGCCCACAGTGCATCACCTTATATGTCCAGGTGGTTGATGGCATCGTGGTTATTGGAGGTAAATGTCTCCCCCCCAGGAGAGCTGCCCAGCCTGCCTGCCTGACCCGGCCCACCGGCTTGGGGATTCCAGAGATCCAAAGCCTCCTGGGAGGCAGATGGCAGGAGGCCTGCGTGCTGGCTCCTTTCCCCGCAGCTAGATCAAGTGGCACAGTGCAGGCAGCTGGAAGGCACCCCCAGGGAGGAATCGAGCACTATGTTCAGAAGGCTGCACTCGATCTTTAACTCCGGTCCTCAGAGGAAGGTGGACGTGGCCGAGAGCCCCTACTCTGACAGAGCCAGCCCGGCCGTGAGGCTGATGCGCAGCAGCTCCATGTACGTGGTCGGGGACCACGGAGAGAAATTCAGCGAGTCCTTGAAGAAATACAAAAGCCCCAGCAGCATGGACACCAGCCTGTCCTACCTGCAGCAGGAGGGGGACCGGGCGTGGATGTACTCGCGCACCCAGGACTGCCTGCAGTACTTGCAGGAGCTGTTGGCCTTGCGGAAGAAATACCTCAGCAGCCTCGACGGCCTGAAGCCCCGCCGCGCCCATGGCCTCTCCTCTACCTCTTCTAAGTCCTCTAAGAGAGCGGAAACGGCCCCTGGCCAGTCCACCTCCAAAGACAGAAAGGTAAGAGCTGTTGAGACATACAGTGTGGAGGGGAATTCTTCCGAGAGCCTCAGGTGCCGGGTGGGAACTTGGCTCGCCCCCTCTTCCCGCGCACGCGCACTTAACTTGTCTGCACTTTCGGAGCCACAGCTCCGTCCTCCTGCGAGACTCTCACCACCCTCTCCTCGGCCTGGGGCAGAGTGGCAGTCCCCTGTTGCCGATCTTCCTGGAGGAGGCCCTGGGGAGGAGCGGTGGGTGGTGTGCACAGAGCAGCCTGGGCGGAGGGCAGGGGCTTTGGTGGTAGGCCGCACTGCGTTCGCAGTGTATTTGTCACTTACCACCGGCTTGATGGATGAGATAACGCTTGTGTGGCTTCTAAAAATCCCAGGGGGAAGTGCAATCTTCCTGGGAACTAGATGCTTTCCAATATCTAGGTGCTTAGCTCCACGGGAGCCGAACAACTGGGGGATGTGCTCCATCTGTAGGTTGGGCGCAGCCTCGGGAGAGCCTGTGACTTCAAGGAGATTGCCTGACAGCTTTGCTGGGCACTGGAGGCTTCAAGCCCAGGCAGCCCAAGCAGGAAATTAGTGCAAGAAGTCACGGGCAGTTATCTCGTTGTTTCTACTTATCCCGGTGTTTGTACACATTATCTTTCCCTGAGCATTCGATTAATGCCGCAGGGGGAGCTGGGAGAGATTCCCGAAGCACGGAAGAGCAAGCTGAGACTCAGAAACCTGTTCTGACAGGACCTCCAATTCCTTCGGGCACTCCTTCCTTCACTCCTCAAAAAAAAGTTTTTTTTCTTTTAAATGCCTGAGGTTTGAGGCTGTTTTAATCGTTTCCCTGATGCCCGGACCGTGGCCCTGTCTCTCCCACTCCTGTTTCCGCAGAGTGTGCCGTGGGCTGTGGAGGCCCCATTACCGTTGAACTGGCCGGCTATCAGATCTCTAGGGCTTGGCCCCCCCCGACTGGTTTCAACTGTCTGCATTTTATCCCAGGTGGGATTGGTTTAAATAACCACTTTAGCTCCAAAACTATGTCAGTGTCCCAGTACCGACTCTTGGGTTCCAGAACTGACCCTGTGACCATACAGCTGTAGGTTGGTGAGCCAGCACCCTTCCTTCCGGGTCACCTACCATGACAGAAGGGGCTGCAGTAGGTTCTGGACTCCCTCCTCGCTTGAATATCCTGGGGTTCTCTGCTCTGGTTAGTTTCCCTTTAGGCACTGCATTTTCCTGAAAAAAAAAAAAATGCAGTTCTCTCTTTATAAAGCCTAGCTTCCTTCCTCCCTGGGCTCCCTAGTTCGGCTGTCTGAAGATTATAGGGAGGGCTTAGGCACAGAACACCCAACTCTGGCCCTGTGGAATGACACAACGTGTGCATTTCCTCGGAGATGCCTCTCACCATGATGTAATTGGGAAAAGGTTTTAAAATGGCTTTGAAGTCAGTCAGGCCAAGACTGAAATTTAGTTGTGTCTTTACCAGTTGTGTCCCTTTTGTCAGCTTGAGTTGGCTTCTCTGGGCCTCGATTTCTGTAGCATAGAAATAGAAATAAGAATACACCCTGTGAGGGAAAAGCAAGATCCTGCCTGTGATAGGACTTGGCACATAGTAGGTCTTCCAGTGCTTACTAACTCTGAAATGGAAGGTGCGGGAGGCTTCTTAGCCACCGGCAGACAAGCTCTCTCCTTCGTGGCTCCAAAAGAAAGAGTTGGATGCTGGATGTGCCTGAGACACAGCGGGTGCCATCTCTGTGGCTGGCCAGGTGCCCTGTGGCGGCCTGCTCCGTCCGTGGGAGGGGCAGGGGACCAGAGAGCGCCTTTCTTCTGGAATGTCATCCCTTTCCCGCGTTGGTAGAAAACACCTGCTGATCTTCAGGTTTTGGCAAACACCATTCGTTCCACTGACCCCTTGTTGTGTGCTGAATTGTGTCTCCCCAAAATCATATGTTTCAATCCTAACCCCCAGTACCTCCAAAGGTGACCTTATTTGGAACTAGGCTGATTACAGATGAAATTAGTTAGGTTGATTGCTAGCATTAGGGTGGGCCCCTATAAGAAGGGGAAACTGGGACAGACAGACAGACACACACACGCACACACACACACACACACACACACACACACGGAACACTAGGCGAGGTCTGGAGTTGGCTGCCACAAGCTGAGGACTCCCCAGAAACTGGGTGGGACCTGGAACACATCCTCCCCTAATGCTTTCAAAGAGAACATGTCCCTGACAAGATCTTGGCCTCAGAATTCTGGCCTCCAGACTCAGACAGTAAGCTTCTGTTGCTCCAAGCTGCCCAGGGGGTGGGACTTTGTTATGGCAGCCCTAGGAAATGAGCACAGCCCTCCATAGAATTAGCCTTTTCTCCTCTCTCCCATTAGTCTAAACACATCCCTATTGTAGCATTTACCCCTCCTCCCATGGCATGTTGCCTGTGTGTCTCCTCTGGTGCACAGCAGGGACTCTGGTACACGTGATCACACTGAAACAGCATCTTTGTCATTCTTCTATCCCCACAGCACAACCATGACTACCTCTTGGTCACTTACGAAAGCTTTATAAACTTTAAAGTCTGGTCTTCTGTGCACAGATCACGGAAGAGCTGGTCTCCATGTAGGGATTGAGCAGTGTTCTCTGGGCACCATAGCACTGTGCAGGCCTTCTCTCCCCCGCCCACGAATACCAGCCCCTCGCCTGGCCACAGAACCTACGCTCCCCTGTCTCTCTCTCTTTTCTGGAAAGATAATGGCTTTCAGGCTGTTCTGTTTAAAACTCTCTGTAAGAAATAGATGTTATATGCAACTGATGAATTATTGAACATTGCATCTGAAACTAATGATGTACTATAGCTAATTGAATTTAAATTAAAAAAAAAGAAAGATATTTTAGATACTGACCTAGTTTATTCAATACAACCAAAACAAAAATTTCATGAGATACACTTACTCCTATTCTCTGTCTGGTACTCTGATATTTTTTCAAAACACTCGCTACTGTTCTTCTGTTGTTGTTTTGCATGTTGGTCATGACACACTAAATTTATTTCACAAGCCACTCCAGGGTCCAGACTGACACTTTCTCACACTCTAGTAAGGCATTCCAGTAGGGCCTGATGAAATGTTAACAGTGGCTAAGGCATGATACACCAGGGTGCCAAATGGTCTGGTGCCCCAGCGCCCTGGAGAAAAGAGAGCCAGGACAAGTACCCATGTGGATCGGTGGGAGGAGGGAGTAAGGACAGGCCAGAAGGAAGGCGAGCCTGGGGTGGATGCAGGAAACCCCTCCTGGCCCCTGCACCGAGAAGGTCCTGGCCAGGCTCTGTGACAATCCGTTCCTCCCTCCAAATAGGAGGCCATTCCAAAAAAGAATGAAACACACGGTTTGCAACATTTTGAAATCAAAACAAAAACCCACCTCTGAGGACTTTTGTGTCAGCATCGGGTATGAGCAATAGTTTGGGACTCATTGTTTAGATGCTCTAGTGTTAGAATTTCCAACACACTGCAAAATTCAAGTGGCAGGAGGAGGCCATATTTGAAGTGGGTCCTGTACGGGAACATAGAGTTTCTGAACCAATAGGGGCAAAGCCACCAACCCCCTGCCCTGGGCACCTCGGGCGTTCCTGCCAGCGAAGAGGCGTATCACCAGTCTCCTCCACACACCCACCCCTGCTCCCCTGCCACGGCCCAGGTACAGTCAGGCACCACTGGCAGTTAGTCCTGACTTCCGATCATCCTAGAAACATGCTGAGTCCTAGCCCCACTCTACAGAGGAGAAAACTGGGTCTCCGAGACAGGAAGTGATTTATGTAAGGCTGTGCACCTGATGAAGAGAGAGCCAGGATTTAAACCGGGTCCACGCTGTGCCAGAGCTCAGACTCTTGTCAATGGAGCCACAATGCCTTTCAATCAGAAAACGTATCATATCTGTCCGATGGGGGAGTGCGCCCCGCAGGATGAGGGGAGCAGGCTGCTTTATCGTGCATCCCCGGGCCAGGGAGAGTCATCAGGGAGGTACCCGCTTCCTGCCCCCCATGGAGTCGGTGCGAGGGTGAAGCTCTCGCATGGGGGGTGCATGGCTGGGCTCCCTTGTGCAGGAGAAACCTGGACCCAAAGCATGCCCTGAAGGCGCACATCAAGTTCTCTCCTCTCCACAATCCATGAGTCAAATTTCCCTCCATCTCAACACCTTCCCTGCACACGGCTACCTCTGACTCTACTTTTACTCTTGGTCCCTCTAGCGCTGAAGCCCTGAGTGTGTATTGTCTACTTTTACACTAGGAGGAAAGCTGGGTAAACAGTGTGGGCTCAGCTACAGTGCGAACTTCACAATGGGGCAGATTGTATCTTCAAACCATTTCAACAGAAATACGTTTTCATTCTTCCTCACTCATTTTACAAAGTATCTGAGATGAGCCACCTACCAGCAGAATAAAGTAGCAGCAGATATTGGACAATCGGGGGAGAATAAAACATCAACAGAAAATCAAGGCTATGCAGATCATAGAGCTAATTCAGCAGCTACAGATGAGTGTCAGGTTCAGCTCTGTACCTCTTAGAAGCTACCATAAAAAGATAGCTGGATCTATATTAAAATTCTGTCTAAGAGGAAGAACCATACCCTTTGGTCAGTGGAAGTGAGATTTTTTCCCAGCTTTAAGTTCCAGAATTTCTCACATGGGACCTGATGCAGAAACCATGTGTGATGTGGCTAGTAATGTCCTCAACAATATTTAGGTAACAACTCATCAATAGATATGTCTGTCCATCCTCCCTCCCTCCATTCCTCCCTCTCTGCCTCCCCTTCCTCAACACATATTGTTGTCAGGAACAGAGTGTGTGTCAGGAGCTGTTCTTAGTACTGGTAATCCAGCCAAAGTCCCTGCTTGTGGGAAAGCAAGGCAATAAACAAGCACACACGTTTCTGGTGGTGACTTCTCAGAGCCCCTGCTGCGACAAGCCTGCACTGCATCTTCTTGAGGGTCCAGGCAATGGCACCTGGACACGTAACTT